CCCGAAACCCTGTTTTGTGCCTGAGTCTTAGGTAGGTCGAACACAATGAGGGCCTGAAAATGGCCCTCCGTTTCAGGCTGAAAAGCCTCTGGGCCGGAAGGGCCCAGAAATAGGCTGAAAACGGAATAGGGCCTGCAGGCCCTCGTTTTTCAGTTTCAGGCTGAAACGACCGAGACCTGTAAGCCCTATTTTCTAGGCTTTTAGGCTGAAAGTGCGGGACGGGCCCTGCAGGGCCCGTATGGCTACGCAATATGCCACACCCCCCCCTCCTTGAAAGACCGAGCTTACCTGCGAGGGCGAGAGGCCCGGCGCAGAGGGGCACGTGGTGTAGGTCGAGGGTGGGGGGAGTGGGCAGGGTCCGGGGCCTTGTGGCGTTGCTCCCTCTGAGGGAGGGACCACAGTCCGGGTGGGAGGGGCCGGTCGTGAAGCTTCCTGAGCTAACCTTTGCTTCTCATAATGTGCATAGATTAGCGGTGCGGATGCTTTCAAATCTGCTCCTAAAATCCATCGAGTGTGGTCGCAATCACAGGCTTTGAATGTAACTTTGTACTGTCACAGCTTGCTGCCGTACTTGCGATCGGTGATGACGAGGTCAACTTCCTGATGACCATCCATAGAAGGAGGGTCCTGCGATCGTCGGCCCGGAAAGTCGTCACTCTTAGCTGGCGTGTATGTTGCCAGCTTTGAGGCGTGAAAGACTGGATGGACCGTCAGATGCGGGGGGATTTTGATCACAAATGAAGGGCCATCGGGCTCATCGCCCGCGGCTGATGTTACAGGCCATGGTCCAAACCACTTGGGAAGCAGTTTGCGTGAGACATCCTGTTCCAGTGCAAACTCTTCCGCGGAAACCCAAACCAGGTCGCCGGCGTGGATGGGACATGGCACTCGATGCCTGTTGGCTTGCTGCTGCATGCGGACTTGAGCCTTTTGCATATTTGCGCGGGCTTGAGCCAGCAATTCCCTGTACTTCTGAACGGAAGCGGGAGAGCAAGCGACATCGATGTTGGCTGGTCGTGGGAGGAGAAGGTCGACGAAAATACGGCCTTTCCGTCCACCGTGGTGTAACTCGAATGAAGTCACGCCRATCGCCGGGTGCACCGAAGTGTTGTAGGCGAACTCGATGTCGGGGAGGCGGTCAACCCAATCTTTYTGGTCCGGACGGATGAGCGTACGAAGCATCATTTGAGCGGTTTGATGTGCCCGCTCCGTCTGCCCGTCTGTCTGTGRATGCCGAGCCGAACTTGGCTTCATCTTCGTGCCGGACTCCTGCATGAGTGCAGTCCAAAATGCCGACATGAAACGAGTGTCGCGGTCGCTGACNGCCGGACTCCTGCATGAGTGCAGTCCAAAATGCCGACATGAAACGAGTGTCGCGGTCGCTGACYATGTCTTCCGGTACACCATGGCCGCAAATCCCGCCGGTGTGCAAGAGGCGTGCCAGCTCGGGAGCCGTGGAGTAGTACTTGCAAGGGAGAAAACGCGCGTACTTACTCAATCGGTCCACGACCGTGAGGATGTCGTCGTGTCCGAGACGGTCGCGGGGAATGGTCTGGTGACATCCATGGCAATGGAGAGACCGGGTTCCTGCGGGATCGGCATCGGGCACAACTCGTCGTAGGGGTTGCGGTTGCGGGGTTTGCTTCGTCGGCAAACTTCGCAAGAGTCGCAATACCTCTTGACATCGGTGATGAGGTTGGGCCATCAGAATCGCTGTCGAAGCCGTGCAATATTGCGGTTGACTCTGAAATGGCCGGCGAGTCGCGAATCATGATACTCACCGAGGAGGCGAGTCCGAAGATGGCGGTCGCGTGGGACACATAGTAAGTCCTTGCCCCGCGAGTGCAGGAGCAAGTACCCATCGGCGATGCGATAGTGGTTGGCCGATGGGTGATCCGAAGATAGCTGCCCATATAGCGTGGCGAAGTCTGGATCGGACTCGTAGCCCCTGATGAAGTGTCGCTGAAGCTCCTCGTCGAATGCGAAGGCATGATGTGTCATAGCGCAAAGATCAGGTCTTTGCGAGAGTGCATCTGCTGCGCGATTTGAGAGGCCGGGAAGATATTTCGGTGTGAAGTCAAATTGGTCGATGAAATACATCCATCGTCCGATCGTGCTGCTCACCGTATCCTGCATCTTGTAGTAGGTCAATGGATTGTTGTCCGTAACCCATGTGAACCTACAACGCCCAAGGAGGAAGTGCCGCCATTGCTTGAGAGCCATGACGAATGCGAGCAGCTCCTTCTTCCTTACACCATCAAGCGAGTTAATGGGAGACACTTTGTGGCGGAAATACTCCACAGGGTGTCAGTCATCGCCGTCGTGTTGTTCCAAGACTGCCCCAATGCCATAGCCGGAAGCGTCTATAGTCACTCTCGTCGGCAGGGTGGGGTCATAGATGCTAAGGACGGGTGCCATGAGCATAGCCGTCTTAAGTGCTTGGAATGAACGGCGTGTGTCGTTATCGAATACGAATGGCGCCTTTGGCGATTGTAACCTCGTCATAGGTGCAGCAATCCTCGAGTTTCCGGTGATGAATCGCTGATAGTAGCCCGCCAATCCCATGAATGAACGAACGTCCGTGGTGTTGGTGGGCTCGGGCCATACTCGTAGGGCCTTGATCTTGTCCGCAAGCGGATGGATGCCTTGCTGCATCACATAATGTCCCAAGTACTCCAGCTCCTGCTGTGCGAATTCGCACTTGTCGCGGTTGGCTTTGYACTTGGCTTGTCGTAGCCGCTCCAAAACGGTGCGCAGGTGTTCCACATGCTCCTCCAAACTCCGACTGTACATCAGGATGTCGTCGAGGTAGATAAGTACGTATCGATCCAGCATGTGTCAGAACTCCGTTGCCATAGCCGCTTGGAAAGTGGCAGGGGCATTCGTAAGGCCAAATGGCATAACCAGCCATTCGAAATGCCCATATCGCGTCTTAAACGCGGTCTTGTAGCGGTCCTCCTTGCGAATCTCGAGTTGGTGATATCCTGACTTGAGATCGAGTTTGGAGAAAAACTTGGCGCCGCCCAGTCGCTCGAGAAGATCGCCGATGCGTGGGAGAGGGCCGGTGTTCCTGATCGTCTGCGCGTTGAGCTTGCAATAATCGATGCACAACCGCAAATCCTTGTTCTTCTTCCAAACGAAGAGAACAGGAGCACCGTATGACGATGAGCTAGGCTGAATCCAGCCTTTCTCCAGAAGGTCGTCGAGTTGTGCCCGAAGCACACTTAACTCTTCCTCGCTCATTCGGTAGATGCAACCGCGTGGAGGTACGGCCCTGTCCTCGAGGATGATCTCGTGGCGGATGGGCCAATCTGGTACTACTTCGTGCGGGTCTTCGAACACGTCGCTGTATGCGTCGAGAAGCTCGGTGATGCGTGGATCCGAAGATGAGTCCGTCGATGAAGCGTCATGGGGCAGGAGGGCGTGGAAAAAACACACCCCCATCTCCTCGATGTCGTCTCTGGTGATGGAAGCTCGCATGCTTGCGGCTGATACCACGTGACAGCTGACTGAAGGGTGAGGAGGAGCTACCGTGCATGGGACTAGTACTCCGTTCCGATCACGAACGTGAACGGTGCGGCAGTAGAAGTTCACCGGGTGCTCCTCGCTTTGCAGCCTTGACATGTCGAAGATCATGTCGAATTTGGTGTCCAGAATGTCAAAGGACACCGCCTCACTTGCGTGAGGGGCAAAGTCAACTGGGACGTCATCAATGCACCGGTCGATTGACTTGTGCGTGTGACCGTCCGCCAAYGTGACTTGCGTGGGCTGGGACTTCCTTCGGACTCGTRGGCCAAGGCSGAYGCGTACCATGAATTCCTGACTCATGTAGTTGCGAGATCCTCCRCAATCGATCAAAGCGCTGCAGGTCGCCTCTCCGATCTGAATGCGTACATATAGCAATGGTGCGTCGATGTCGTCGTACCGTTGCGTCTTGAACTCGCGGWCGATCTTCGCAATGTAGGCGTGAAGGYCGACAACCTCTACTCCGGCGTCCATCAACRGAGTCGGTACTGCAGTGTGCAAGTAATCCCGCAATTGTGCCTTGAGCACGTTGCAATGCGGTTTCGGCAATCAACCGGACCAGGGAAGGGGCATCCATTGGAAGTCCGCAAATGTCAACGGGTCRAGCTCTTCAAGTCTTGACCATGACGTTGAATCCCCGGCRGTAGATGGCGGCGAWGCTGCCGAATCGRTTGYCGATGGTGATGAAACCGTGCATGCAGTAGATTGTTGCACGTGGAGCGGTTGGTCCAGCGGTGGGACCAAGTGGACAGCATAGTCCTTGTAAGCATACCGAGAACTTACGACATTCGCATCCTCCCCAGATGTGTAGGAGGCTGCTAGCAAGGCRGCCGAATCTGGCGGAGTGGGGSGTGGAGTCGCCTCACCTYCCGCSAAACTCAGATTCCCGAGTTAAGACGAGGCCGCACATCCTCCTTGGCCTCATCCTGGCACAGGGAGGTCTTGTGCTTGGTGCTGTTGCACCAGTAACAGCAGCCGTAACGGTTGCGGTACTTGTACTCGGCCTCGGTCAAGTTGAACTTGACCCATGGTGGTGCTGGCTGTCCGTTTCCGGCCTGCGATGCTGGTTTCGCCTTCCCGTTCACTCGGGGTTTGTTGTTGCTTCGCGGCTGGACAGAAGCCACCCGATCTCCCTCACGTGACGCTTGGGTGGCTGCCGTGTCTTCCACAGTGTTGTCCGATTGGACTGCAGCGAACTGCTGCTGTCGCGGACCAGTTCTCACCTTCTCCACATAGGTTGGCTGCCGCGTTGACTTCTCGTGTGCAACCGCCCTGTTGGTCTTGATGATCTCTCTCGCCTTCTCAATAATCTCGGCAAAAGTTGCATACTGCTTGTGATCACCAAGTGCCTGGCTCAATGCAGCGCATGACCAGTTGTAGAACTCACGGCGCAGATGCAGAAATGGTAAGTCAAGATCGGGCGTTGCCGCGATCTTCTGCCATTCCGTGAGCCAGTCACGTGTTGCTGTGTTGCCTTGAGTCATGGTGAAGAGACGGTTGATGGCAAGTGTTGGTGCGTCGTCGACGATGAACTGCTTCTTCCACAACCGTGTTAACTCTTCCCATGTGATCTTGTCTCTCAGATCTGCGACGTCGACGCCGTGGGTGGCTGCCAGGTGGGTTAACCAGATCTGGCATCCGCCCTTTGAGTTCATGATGGTGGTCGGCAGAATCCGCAGGTGCCGATGTACGCGTGCTTGGCGACAGGCAGAATCCGCAGTTGCGTCGTGAAAGCTTCCCACCAGAGCACCGGGTCCTGATGCGTGTAGTTGTCAAACTTCTCCAATTGAAAAGTTGACATCTTGTATTGCTTAGGATTGTTGCCATCCGTGTTCGTCGACTGCAGTTGCTGGACCTCGGTCTTCAAAGTATCCAGCTGATTGTTGATGGTGGTCGGCGCAACGAAGGTGCTGATGTCGCCGAGCATTGCGACGACGTGGTCGACGCGTTGTTCTAGTTGGCGGTTAGAAGGTGCACTGCTGGGCTCACCAGCATCTGGTCCTGGTACAGCTTGCTCCAGGTCCAGTACACGGGAGTTGAGTGCCCGTGTAGCATCCTCGTGGCTCTGCACCATCCGGCGGAGGTTCGCCAACTCCTGGTGCTGTGTCTTCAGATCCTGGTACCGTTGCTGCAGTTCCTGGTTCTATCTCTCTAACTCGGACTGTTGGTAGTTGCAAGCGTACAAGAACCGTGTCACGAGTTTGGAGAGGAACTCCTTATGCTTTTCTTCTGGTGTCGCGTCGTCGCCGTTGGCCGGTTCAAAGTGCCAGAACTTGAGTCTGCCGATGTTGGCAGCTTCATGCCGCTGCAGCAGAACCTGGGCCTCCTTGTGGCGTGCCTGGGTATCTGCGTCTGCTTCGGCCTGTAGCCGCTGCTTCTCAGCTGTTGCCGCTGCTTCAGCCCGTAGGCGGGCAAACTCGACTGCCAGCTGGCGCTGTTCCGCAGCCTCGATGAGAGCGATCTGAGCCTGGAACCGCTGTTTGTAGTCGGCAAGAGACTCATTGGCCAGTTGGCCTGGCATGCCCAGAGCTGCGCCCGTCATGGTGGCGGGGCGCTGCTGACGTGGCACTGTGACGCGGCCTGCTGACGTGCACTGTTGCTGACGTGGCACTGTTGCTTACGTGGCACTGCTGACGTGGGACTGTTGCTTACGTGGCACCGTTGCTTACGTGGCACTGTGACGTGGCACTGCTGACGTGGCACTGTGACGTGGCACTGCTGACGTGGCACTGTTGCTTATGTGGCACTGTGACGTGGCACTGCTGACGTGGCACTGTTGCTTATGTGGCACTATGACGTGGCACTGCTGACGTGGCACTGCTGACGTGGCACTGTTGCTGACGTGGCACAGCTTACGTGGCACTGCTGACGTGGCGCTGTACTAACTTGGAAATGCATGCACAGGGTGGGTGGGGAGGGAAAACACAGGTAGGAAACCAACCTAACAATACTTTCCTCCTGGCGCTAATCAACAGATAAAAATAAAATAAAAAAATAAAAGAGGAGTACTTCCTTTTTTTTTTCTTTTTTTTTTGTATATCTGTCGATCTGTTATGAGTGAGACATGTCAGAAGAGTACTATGAACGAGCTCTAGACTAGGTTCCGCAAAGTTTCGGCTTTTACAAAATGCGATCTTGAAAGAAAAAAAAATTTTGGTGAGGTAGAATAGAGATGCGATTTTCAGAAAAGAACTAAATCGCGTTTCTGAGAATATGGCAACCTCCGAATATGCCTATCGAAATGTTGGTAGGCTTTGCAAGATTTCGGTTTCCCAAAAAAAATTTGCGAGATAGAATGGAAATTCGATTTTCAGAAAAGAATAATTTCAGTTTCCGAGAATATGACCACTTCTATCGTTATCCCAATATGCCTAGAGAACGAAATACTAACATCAGAAATTTCACCTATGTATGTGAAATATCAGAGAGACGAAATGCTTCTATCGGGAATTTTCAGACTAAACGAAATGCGATTTATCATAAATTTTCAGATATTTGTTACGTAAAAACGAAATACCAATATCAGAAATTTTCAGGTAAAACGGAATGCGAATATCAGAAAATTTCAGATAGTTGTTGCAAGAATTTTTTTTTTTCAGAGATTTGACGAAGTCCTACTTGATTTACTAACGAGTAATCGATAGATCAAGCAAGCTGGCTTTTGATTGAGCGGGTCCTCTGAATGAGAGGTCCTCTCCGATACCAAACTGTTGCATACTGTAACGGTGCAGACCAGAACAAGAACCGACCTCTCAATGCAAAGTACAAGATAGCACAGCAGAAGACTTAGATACCAATGATCCGAACAATCAATATTGCAATGCAGCCCTGAACATACATCATCATCATCGTTACATGGTGTGAATGGGGTCTGGCGCTTCACACAGGAAGACTGCGCCAGCCCCTACCATACACAGACGAAGAAGAAGGGGGTTAGACGAAGAGGAGGGGAAGATGGGAATGTCGTCAACACCAAGTCTTCGGCACAGGCCAAAATAGTCCCTGGTCGAAATGTCTGAATCCCAAATGTCAAGTCTGAATCCAATGTCGTCAAGTCCCGAGTCACAACTCTCTCTCTGTAGTAGTCCGCCGATACTGAGAAGTCAGGTGGTGAGAGGGGAAGAAGAGATGGTGGACTTAGAAGAAGAGGAAGAAGAACTTTCTCTCTCTCTTTCTCAGTCCAGTACTAACCTGTGAAGTTGGCGCCTTGATGCAGGTACCTCGAAGATGGAGTTGGAGCTATGGCGCCACAGGTAAGTCTCGCTGGC